GCTACGCATGGAGGCAGAAGGAAGGGCTGAAATAAAGTAAGTGGTTGGGTCTGTTCCCTCCATTGGTTTCATGGTTGTCCCTTGCAGACTTTCCAAGCTGCCTTAGCCTTGTAGACCTCTTCTGTAACCAGAGCCTGCATCCACCAGCAGTGATGCTACATCTGAAGGGGAAGGGAATCACAAACTTTCCAAGGAAACCCTTTCCTAGCACGTTTTCTGCTTGCCATGTGTTTACAGGGAAACATCCTCAGGGCAGGAGCCTTCTGTGTCAAGGGTTATATTCCATCGGTATCTATCAGATAATAAAACTGGTTTTAATTAAGACAGGCTGTGCAGGGACTGGTGCCATATACCTGCAGTGGGTTCTGTGCCCAGGTGAGTGGGAAGTCAGACTGGCAGTCTGGAGGCTTAGTGAAGATCTCAGGGATCAATCACAGGGTTTAGCTAGCTGATACTGGATATTGACACTGTAAATGGCAGATCTGTGCTCATCTATAACCCAGCAGATAGAAATCAATTATTCTAGACCACAGTTCATCCCATCCAAAAGTCCTTTATACAGTCTCCAGCTGGTGCTGTAGTTGGTTAGCTGAAAGTGGTGAGTTGAGTCTGACCCCAGTTCACTTGACCCCTCACAATTGCCCTTTGTCAGTATGGTGATGGTGAGGATATATTCCAGTTTGGTGACCTGTGAATGAAAATCCTATTTTGTTTAGAATTATATTCAACGACAGTACTGATTTTCCCAACACATAAACAATAATCATGTTCTTGCTAGCATAATTTACACTGATTCCCAGAACTATGCAGAACCATGTATTTTTATTAATAACCACATATAGCTTTGCTATGCAAAGACTTCAGTATTTGAATGGCACAAAATTGTCCTTAAAAACAACTCTTTGCTCAAGTAAAGCTCTTCCATAAAAAGCATTTCTAATGGGGCTGTACCTTTGGCAAAGAACACCAGATACATATCCCTTCAGAACACATGGATGAAACATGCCCCAATATCTCACTGAAACTTTTGTGCTGTAAAGTCTGTCAGGTTAAGAAGTGGATTTACACATTTAAAAGCTACCCAGCTACTCTCTGGCACAAATCAATGTGATAGAGCTGCCCTGATGAAACAAAAGCTTCATACAGTACTGCCATTATTGTATATTGACCCAGAGTGTCCGCAGGGTCTGTCCATTTAACTAGTGTACTACTTTCAAAATGGGTTTTGGTGTGTTCCATCACACTGTGTTTCTGCTTTTGGAATCCTGATGGATCGTCTGAATTGTTCTTTATAAGGATGCTGAAATCATTTTAGTTACTGAAAAAAGTGGCAGGAAACATGGGCACCTCAGGACCATCCACCGTAGCAGGACTCACTATTCGGGTCATGGGTTCTGGGGAAATACAGCAACATTGGCTTTGAAGGGCAACTGGAAAGGTCAATTCTTCTGCAGATGGCTTAGTTGGTAAATGCCCTTGCCCTGCAGCACTGCTTGTTAAAAAGGCATAGTGCTTCTTCAGGAATAGGAGTGGCTGGTGACCTCGATATTTAACTAACAATTAAATATGAGCATTGCAACACAAGGCAAAAGCATCCATTTTTACAGACGATTTTGGGAAGAGGGTTGTACAGGCAACTATTCAGGACATTCAGGTTGCCCTTGGAAAACTCTCTTCAGCTGGGAAGAAGGTCCCATGCCACCCTGGGAGTTGCCCGCCAGAGCTGAAACTGCAGGAGGAAGCCACAGAGAAAAGATGGGAAGATTAGGAAAAGGGAGTGATGTGGGGAAGTTGAAAGGAGCTTGGAGGAAGAAACAGCTGGAAAATCTGCTTTATTTATCCAGTGGACAAAACAAGGCAGCTCCTCCATCAATAACAATTACCCACCTTGGGCACTCTGGCCCCAGATTGACAAAGGGTTTAGGTGTGGTGACAGCAGCTCCTACACCTCCCTTCCTGGTGCCTGGCTCCAGCGGTGAAATGCCCAAACCCCAGCTACTCACCTACACCTCCAATATGAGTGGCCATAATTGCTGGGTAATTGTAAGTAACACCTAAAACGGCCAACAAGAAAAGCTCAGAGATGGGTCCCCTGCCTCCTTAAGATGGATTTTGAATCCCACTGGTATGTGAGCATTTGCTTTTCCTCTCGCATTGTCACACCAAGGTTCAGTGCACCAACCAAGGGGACCAGGACATTCACCAAACACAAGGAAGACCTGGAAATGCCATCTTCAAAATAACACAGATCAAGCCAACACCTTCTGCCAAAGCACCCACCTTGACTGGAGGCAGGGAAATATTTCTGACCTTGTCTGGACATCAAATCAGTGGGCAGTGAAGAATATTAGGTTCATGAAACAGAAAAGACAGGGGACCATGACCACCTAGACCAGTAAAGAGGATATTCTCCTGTTAAGTTGTGAAGAAGAAGGATCCTCAGGTAACCTTTCTCCATCACCATTTGTGTATGCTCTCCAGAGAACATCAGCCTGGAAAGCCTTGCTAGTCCAAGGAACATATTGGTAACCAACAAAAATGCTAAGTATCCAGGGAAGAATATTACTGAAGCACCTGGGAGAGTAAAACATTCAATAACCAACAGTAGAATACGATCCACTGCTAATGGGTGAGGGGGTTCCCCTCCAGACAAACCACCTTGCCAAGAGTAACCAGACACATGGGGATCTCACCATGCTGCAGCACAAAGTGGAATTGTTACTCACAGCATGTGGAGAGACAGAAAAGTGTTTAGCAAACCTGCTTTCCCTTGCAAACTCTGTGTTGAGCTCCTGTAATTTATAGTCTCCAGTGCTTTTGAAAGCACAGTTTCTCAGTGCTTGGAGAGAAAGCATATGTGAGGTAGGAGACCTGGTTTGTACACCACGGGCTCAGAGTTTTTGCTTGGAAAATTTGCCTCAGTTTTCCTATCTGGAAAACTGAAGTACTACTAGGTCTTTGAGGTCTGCCCATAAAGAGTGCCTCTAGAACCTGTAACAACAAAAGTATGAAGAGATGCTCTAATAACAGAGATGGTAAACAGCATTATCATAGATTGCATGATACAATGCACTGTAATATTTAAAACATAAAGAACAAAAATCTGTTCTGTTGATATATTACATCTCAGATTAATAATCTCAGCAGCAAATGTATTCAGGTCTGCCTGCAGACACCACAGAAGAGAAACACAAGGCAGGAACACAAGGCAAAGAGCCTGCAGGCTTTTATATAGCACATTTCACTTAATGATCTAGAAGGGTTTATTACTAAAACTCTCTCAGCCCTCCTGTGGGCTAAGAACACTACGCTGTGTCTTTTTAATTGCTGGATAACATGGACTGCATCAGGAAAAAGGAGTTGAAGGTCAAAGAGGCTGAATGTCAAAGCTACACACCTTATCCCTACTATCCCCCTTTCGGAACTCTTGCCTGAGCAGAAAGCAGAGATGCACTATGAATCTGAAAGTTACACTGCAAGCCATGTCAAAGCAGTTATCATGAATAGTAACTACCAGTTGTGCAGCACAGCTTGTGACCAAGACAGATAGGATCTGATCCCTGAGAGCATCAAGAGCTGATGTCCCAAGGACTGCACGTCCAACAGCACCCTGCACGTGTACAGGCACGAGGGGTGAGCCCAGACAGATGTCTTCACACATGCACAGCTAGAGCAAGGATGCTTTTCTATAGACAAAGCCAGGATCTTGGGTCCTTCCTCCCGTTGATTTTGCTGCTTCCTAGAATATGAGTGGGACAAGCCCCAGACTGTGCCTACCCTTCAGAGGCAAATCGCTTTATGAAAAACACTCTTAAGATCTTCAGTTAAGTTATGGCCACATCATGCCATTAAACTGTATACACTCATGGAACAGCTGTCTTCTAGTCCTCCGAGAGAAAGATGCTCTCTTCTGAGCCATGAGAAGCATTCCTGAAATACCAGGAGTGCTCTTTGGAGCAATTGTTTTCAGTTTTTGGCCAGCAGACCTGTGGCATCCACAGCATACCTTTAATGAGTCCATTAAAGCTAAGAAAACCAACCTCTTTATCAGTAGGTTTCAAATTGCCATCAAAGCTGAACAGCCACCCCCCCAATACTGTCAGAGCTCACAAATCAAGAGCGCTTCAAAATCACTGCTTCAGAGTTTCACACCATAATTCCCATTCAACACCCCCCTCTCCCAGGTAACAAGATATGACAGGACCATGACCTAAGGCAGCATGACTGCAGGCATAAAAAGTCTTCTCACTCAAGGTGTTCATCAGATGAATAACCTGCATGAGTCTTACACTGTAGTGAGTCTCTCAGGGCTCAAAGATGCAGCTGCAGAGTTGGAAGTTCAATTCCGTGTCTCCCCTTGGGAAACGTCTTTCCATAAGGTTAAACAACAGTGGCTACTGAATCAAGAGCATGAACATCTTTGTTGTACCACCCTTTATACAGTTTCAGAGCACTGCTACACAGAAAAAAAGTGTAAAGATCTACAGTTGGAAAGGGACTTTTCATCAGGGACTGTAGTGATAGCACAAGGAGTAATGGGCTCAAACTTAAGTGCCCTTGGTGAGGGAAAGGCCACAGTGGTACCCTGTGACTGCACCATCAAAGGCCAATATCAGACAACCCTTGGACCACCCTTTAGATACAAAACCCAAGGACACCAGGCTTCGTTGACTCCATTGCTTGTGGCATGATTTGCTGCTCTCCCTGCAGTGCTGCTGTGCCTTCATTGCACTTGGGACCTGGGCTGTCCTCATTAGGTGAGAACAGGTTGGTTCTCCTCTGTTCCCTCATCTTGCCTGCAGTACAGGCTCAGGAGACTCCTGCCCCGCTTTGCCACTGACCTGTTAAGCCACTTTCCCTCTCAGCACCTTTGTTTCCTCATCTTTGAAATCAGGATTATGACCTCTATGAGACACTTTGATGTTCACAGATGAAGTGTGCTGTGGCACATATGAGCATTCTCTCTGTTTTAAATACTAGGGAATACATCATTGTGGGTGTTTTCCGTTTGTTTATTCTCCTTTATTTTCACCTTTATTATTACAAATGGAAATCAATGAATCACCCTGGAAAAACAAAAAGCTTTTTGGATCAGGTTTTTAGTTTGAGGGTAATAATGGGAGAGAAATCAATTTTGAAACAATGGATGGCAAAGTGCAATTGTTTAGAAACTGTAGGGCAGAATGTATTTGTCTACCACACAGTTCACTGCTGCAATATTCCTGTTCTCTTCCATTTTCTAAGCTATGTGTAAAACCCGCTTCCAAAATAAATTATTTAGCTCTGAACTGCTGTAATGCACAACAGATACCTGTCAGAGTAAAGTGTCACTGATGGAGGATCCAGATGGGAAGATGAGTTCAGACTGCAACAAGTCCTGGGTGGGAATACAGAACCTGAAACTGATGTGCACACAGAGCAGTTTCCATCTCTTCTCTGGGATGGCCTCATTCCCTGCCTGGGCAGATGTGCCAACTGAAGCTGGGGTGTTCCAAAGGCACTGCTGGAGGATGAAATGCAGTTGTCAGTCTTACGTGGTATCTGCAGCTGTTTGGTACTCAGTCAGATGCTGACTCTGCTCTTAATGCACCAAACCAGCACACCACATTGCACCAAACAGTGATGCCCAGCAAATGTGCACTTTGTGCACAAATGACTGAGTGCAGAATTTGCTCTGCTAGGGCTGGCAATTAAAAGGTAAAGATGTGATTCCCGTGTTCCTTGCTTCATTGGCCAAAAGCACTGTGAAAAAAAAAGAAATATTAATGCAGGTCTTTTAACTGGCAGATGAAGAATGTTATTCTTGTGGGCCTCCTCAAAATAGCAAACAGCCCCAACCCTGTCCTGCAGACCATGAGGAAGCCTCTTCTGGACTGAGAAGTGTCATGGTCTGTTTGGATATCTCATACTTACAGGACAACATATTCCTATACCTATGTTCTATGAGAGCATAAGGAAAAAAAAGAAAATCAAGAGGAAACCAAGGACACAATCCCCTTGGTACAGGCTGGTAAAACACGTCAATACACTAATTCACTTCTGAATTAATGAGGTTTAAAATCACGAGTTCTCTAATTCATTACTGGCAGTCCGTAACTCATACCTTGTAACTTGAACATTCATGAGCAAAACAGCTCCTGAGCTGACAGTGAGAGTGCTCTTCCTTGCTCCAGTGTCACAGTGTGTAGCACGCTGGGATGCATGAAAGCCTCAGCACTCTGGCTGCCATTGGAGCTCACTTTTAGGGTGAGGAGGAGATCAGCCACAGCCGACTTCTCAGCCACCCTGAAGGAACAAGAACACAAGGTTCAGCAAGTTATGTGCTGTCCACAGCTGTCCCCACACTTGCCCAAGGCAGGGAAGCCAGTGGCCATGCTGCACAGCTTTCCAGGGGCTCTCAGCCATTGATCAGGGCTCCTGCTCAACAGGCAGGCTGCTGCCCATGCTTATGCTTTCAGCCCTTCCACCTTCTTGTGGTGGTCTTCTGCTTGGTTGCCATCCAGTCCTTGTAGAGCCTGTTCATGAGGAGCATGAAGGAGATACTTTGGAGGAAGTCCTGCTAGGCCAAGACTTCCATGTGAGCCTTTGCACCCTCCAGGCAGGTAGCCAGGGGCTCCTCCATGGAGCTGCAGGTCAGAAGTGGTCACCTTCAAGATAACATGCAGCAGTATGGCAGGTTGGCTTTCCAGGTCAATGGCTGCATGCCAGTCCAGGGCCTCCTTGGGCAGGGCAACCCTGTCCACAGCAGCTCCCCAAGCACTGTACTGCCAGCAGCTAGGCAGAATATCCCCTCCACTGACAGCCCTTCCTGCTACAGGACAGCCAACAGCTCCTGCAGGAGAGGTATGGGGACACTTGCTTGGCTGAGAAGCTGCCTTCCAAGAGTGCAGGCTGGAGCACTGCCCCACACCTGGCTCCTTGCTGGGGGGCAAAGAGCCCAATCCCATCTTCGGAGCTCCTGGGGACAGGCACCCATCATCTCCCCAGAGCAGCCAGACCACGGCCGGCCTCCCTTGGGCTCCCCAGCCAGCATCAGTGAGCACAGATAACCGCTGGCAGGAGGTTGCCTTTCTTGTCAAAACTCACCTGGTGAGCAGCAGTCCCCCTTTGTGGCTAGGCGGAACCACTGGAGGGCTTTACTTGGCATCAGTCTACAAGAACCAGGCTGTGCTTGGAGAGTAGCCCTACAGAAGAAAAGGCCACCTGAGCTGCAGCCACCCTCACCTTTGCCTGGCCCCCTGGCAGACTCTTAAGGCTCCTGGAGCTGAATGTCCTCCTCTGGGCAAGAAAAAGTGGAAGAAGCTGAGCAGCAATGCTTAGGGACACAGCAATGCTTAGGACCGGTGCTTAGGGACACAGCCCAGGCCAGAGAGAAACTCATGGCATGGCAGCAGCTCAGCAACTTCTCCAGGACTTGGAAGAGATGGGAGACTGTTCTCCTGAGTTCTGTTGGCTCCTTCTGGTGTCCTTCTGGTGCACCAGTAAGGGACAGAGGGAGAGCTGGCTGAGACCCATGCTGCCTCTTCTCTCTTGTCAGGCAGCTCTCCCCAAGCTGGGGACCTGAGCTGTGTGCCCCAGGGTGCTGGGCTCCGAGGCTCCTACTGCAACTTGGTAATGACCAGTTCCTCCTGGAGGAGAAGGCGTCTTTTGGTCCTCTTGTGGCCCTGGGTCAGCCGCACATCCATGCTTAGCACTAGGGCAGTGCTGCTTGGCCAGACCCTGCTTCCTTCTGGCACTGCTCCATGACAGCCCAGCTCCATCCTGCCATCACAGGTGGCTGTTGGCTCCAACTGACCAACGTTCCAACCCCAGCAGAAAGTGTAAGTGGCCCTGGGAGGGCTATGGCCTAGGGGTTCTCTCCAGCATGGCTGTGTCACCCTTGCTCTATGGAGCTCAGAGCAGGATACAGCCCAGGGGAAGGACCACCTCCCTCCACCTGCTGGCAGTGTTCCTTGCCTTGGGCTTCAGCAATGGTTCCTGGCCTCCAACTAGACTTGGTGTCACTGGTCACCCTGATCTGGACTCAGATGCTCAACCACTTTTCTGTCCACCACATTGCTCATCAGCCCCTGTGGTGCTTGCTTTCTTCCAGTCCTCAGGCACATCTCCCTGTTGAAGTGGCCTCACAAGGCCATTTGCCAGTTCCCTCAGCACCCCATCAGGGGGACCTGTGCATCTCCACTTTACTTAACTGTTCTCAAATCTCATTCTCTGCCACCTCATCCTTACAGATCCCCTCACACTAAGGGTATATACACCACCTTTGTTCCAGCTCTCTGCCCAGGTCTCTGGGACCTGGGATGTCTGCAGGCTTGTCTTGCTAGCTCCAGCAGGACCGGCTGAACCTAGACCAGCCTGAAGTGCTTCTGTGGCCTAGTGAAGGTCAAGAGAGTTTTAAGAGGGAGAAAAAGAATTCCTAAAAATGAGATCAGTTCTTGTAGCCGTGGGGAACTGTGGTTGGAACTAGATGATCTTACGGTCCTTTCCAACCCTAACTATTCGATGATTCTATGATCACAACAGCTTTCACTGCCTTGTCCTGTGTTTGGTCCTGCCTTACAGTGCTCAACAGCAATGGTCTTCACTTCTCTGTCAGCAGTGCTTTATGCAGAAGCAGTGGTTGGGGTTTCCAATCAGCAGTAATGCAGTGTTGCCACCTGCTCAGCATAGAGATGTGTTGGCCAGGGGTGTGTGTGGCTTTCCCTGGATCACCCATGCTTGTGCCTGGAGCATTCATAGTCAGTCCAACCTTATGTCTGCAGGTCTCCCTGGACCACTGAGATGAGGATTACAAATGCATCTTTCCTTTTTCCAAAATTGAAAGGCCACCTTGTTAGAGGAGAGGAAGAAAGAGGAAAAACAGCAGTCAGCAACAATCTAAAATGTATGCAGAAAAAAGACTTTTTGACATGGTGATACTTGTGGGTAAAGCCCTTTAGGAGCTGTTTTCCACATCCACTTGTAGATGTGATGCAGGTATGATGCATCATGGACATAAATTTCCATCTTTAAAACCATGACGTTTGACTGAAATTCAGGAGTTTTTAAAATATATGTATTTAACTGTCTTTTTCATTTGCTGTTAGACTTCAGGTGTTAGTTGCCAAATTCTCAAATTTCTAGAAACTGCCTCTTAAAAAATAAAAATACACCTGAATAAAATAAAATAAAATCTGTGGACTTGAAATGACACAGACCTCAAAACTGAAACTTAAAGATGAAAGAACCAACATTATGAGATTCATGATAAATTGTTGAGATATGATAATACCAAAGAAGTCCCAAATAAGATACAGCAGGAAAGACCAGCCTCTAATGCATTTGGACATTGAATCTCTGTAGAAAGCACTGGAAGAGTTGAAAGATCCTGAAAGCAAACAGCCTTCAACCAGCAGGTACTGCCTTATCTGACATGCCTTTATGTACATGCCCTTGGTTCCTAGTGCTGATTCCAGTAAACACACTGCAAGACAAGTACTTCTGATACGCATGTGCTGTGCACTGGACAATGCAGCAGCTCTGTGACTCACTCACCAGGATCATCTCTTTAAACACCAGTTCAGACAACCCGTGTTACTGAGAGGCCCAGAAAACTGACTTCTCCACTGGATTCATACACAGCCAGAGCTTGATACCTTAAGGGTAAGACTCAGACAAGATTAACTCAGGGAGCAACAAGAAGTAAGGAAGCCATATGAAATAAACGTCAAGAGGGGAGTGCTGCTCCTGGTCCTGGATTCCCTTCTCTGTCCACAAAGTTGTGACAGCACTAGCCTCCGAAAGCGCACAAGCGTGCTGACCACTCTCCCCACACTGTTTGTACCAGTAACTGTCGTCTGTCTTTCCCACAGGTGAGTGTGAAGGCAGGTGTAGGAACGTTTCCACAGGCACATGGCACCCCACACTTCATATTCCGTACGCAACATCAGGGGAATCTGTTCTTGGGACGCTCCAAAACCACATGGCAAGAGAGCAAGTACATCCCCTGCTCTGCTGTGCAGCCCCTTGTGACATGTCCTCTGCAGAGCCCCGCCTGGGGCACCCACCCAGGGCAAATCTATGCAAGGTTGGGTTTGGTCTCCCGGACCTCCATCTGAGGACTTGCAGCAGCAATACAAAGGTCAAAAAAACCCATCTAACCCAAATAATTGTTTAGCAGGAGCGCAGCTTTACTGCTGTAATTCTGAAAAGGAGGAATTCCTCCAAACTGTCATACCCTTGGCTCCAATCACTGCATCAAACTTATTCCCAGACCTTCTCCTTTACTGTATTAGTCAGCTTTTTCCGACTCTCACAAAACCCAGGACTTTGGTGCCTTACCACCCAGAAACCAAAGGAAGCTTCCACGAAACCAGCAAACACCTCCCATCTTCTCACCAATGTCATTAGAAAAGCAAAACAAACCAGAGAGGTTGTACAAGTCAGCCTATAAACCCAGGCGTGAGGAGGATAGTGTCAGTGGTAATGGGGCAAGAAAGGCAGGGTAATTATACCACACCAAAATTGCGATCGTGCTGCATTCCTTTCTGGTGAAGGCCAGCTAAGAATTAGATACACCTTTTAAAATCATCAAAGGGAGTGGCTGCAAGATACAAGGTGATGGGATTAAGATGAAGTTCTGGGTTTGCCAGTTCTCAGCAATGGCTTTGCTGGCTGGGCTGGGCACATCATTAACTGCTCCCATATGGTGTTCACATCGTGCCACTTCTTATTAATCTTGATACCATTCTCAGTATTTCCAGAGTCCCAGGCTCCCACTGAGCAAAGAGCTGTATAAACCCAGGAATGGAAGGACAATACCTATCCACAAGGTTTGCTGTACTGGGTCAATGGACAGTGGGATTGAGTGCACCCTCAGCAAGTTTACTAGTGACACCAGGCTCTGTGGGTCGGTTGATATGCTGGAAGGAAGGAATGCCATCCAGAGGGACCTTGACACGCTTGTGAGGTGGGCTGATGCCAACCTCACGAAGTTTAGCCTTGACAAGTGCAAGGTCCTACACCTGGGTCAGAGCAATCCCTTCATTAGGGACTGTAGTGATAATGACAAGGGGTAACGGGTTCAAACTTAAACAGGGGAAGTTTAGATTGGATATAAGGAAGAAGTTCTTTACTGTAAGGGTGGTGAGGCACTGGAATGGGTTGCCCAGGGAAGTTGTGAATGCTCCATCCCTGGTGGTGCTCAAGGCCAGGTTGGACAGAGCCTTGGGTAACATGATTTAATGTGAGGTGTCCCTGCCCATGGCAGGGGGGTTGGAACTAGCTGATCTTAAGGTCCTTTCCAACCCTAACTATTCTATGATTCTATGAATCAGTCAAGTTCAGTAACTTGTACCTCAGCATTATTTCAGTGGAGCTTACAAATACTTATTATAGAACAGTTTGGGTTGGAAAGGACCTTAAGGCTCACCCAGTTCCAACCCCTGCCACCAGCAGGGACACCTTCCACTAGACCAGGCTGCTCCAAGCCCCATCCAGCCTGGCCTTGAACACTGACAGGGATGGGGCAGCCACAGCTTCTCTGGCAGTAGCCCCAGCTACTATCACAAGGTCTGCAAGCTCAGGTCCTTAAGCACAAAACTCCAAGGGCTCCTCTGTCGAGAAGGCTGGTACAAATACCAAACAGAGACTTTTTGTGCAGATGATTTAACAAGGACTGCATGGGTGAGGGAACACATTTGTCTCAGACCTCTCCCATTTTCAGAAGAACAAGTGCAGGAGCTTAGACGGTGGCACACACCCTACAGCCCTTTGCAGAGAAGAACCTGCTGGGAAGATGGGTCTCAAGGAAGCTGATCTGTGGGTCAGAGGCACAGTGCTGCCCAGAAACACAACCTTGCTTCACAGACCACTGGGCAATGCAGAGTCCTCTTCTGCTGGAGAACACCTCCCTAGGAGAAAGCACAGGAGCAGCCATCACACAGGCAGGACAGCATCACACAGAGGCAAAGCTCCTGCTCTGCCTGCCTCACCTCATTCGTGGTACAAATGGAATTTTTCAACGTCCTCTTGGGCTTTTATGGGGCAGGAGGAGAACTTGGCATAAAACCAGAAAGGCACAGACCACCAGTGCCTTAAAACTATGGGAATGTCCTCCCCGTTGTAACTTCATATTGCAGGCTGATGGAGTCAATCTTTCTAAGGCCAACAAAACAAACGCTGCATTTGTGCTAGTTTTCAGAAAACATGCCAAAAAAAAGACAAACACAAGGCAAAGCAGCGAGCCAAATGGCCAAGTCTTGCTCCCCAATTACTTTGAAATTAAAAACTTCAATTAAAACCAGCCACAAAACACAGACATAATGATGAC